CTTTGTATTGCCTTCGGCCTCTGTGCTGTGTTTCTTTTTTTCATGTCCTCCCTACCTACTCTGCTGTGTTGGGTACCTTGATCTCGCTTTTGCTGTTGCTATTGTTTTTGTACATCTGGCTGTCTGCCCATCTGCCGCCTCTTTGACCTGTTTTCCCCGTTACTCCCATGCCCTGGTGCGTAGTGCCTGGTGCTGGAACGTTACCCTTTGATTTTTCCTTTGGGCGGGTGTGGGAAGCGTCCTCCTTTACTTTTGTTTTTGTTGTATTTTGATCGGTTTCCGAGAGCTCTTTTCTCGAACGGTCGGTGCGATAGCTGTTCTTTTCTGTCTTATCACTTTGTTTTCTTTTTCCGAGTGGTTTGTACCCTATTTTTGTTTTGTTTCCCCGCGGCGTCGTATGTGCCGGGTGTTGAGACCACGGGCTCCTCATTTTTTGTGGACTATGGAGCTAATGTGAGAAACAACAACAACAACAACGTTGCCGTGTGCACGCACTTGAAGGTACACGATGCACGTGAGGACTTCGAAGTAGTACTTCAGTTAAGTGTTGCTTACGCTAGATAGAGAAGGTGTCGACAGCAGTCTGTCGATATCTAGTTGACACCACGCGCTACAAAATTACAATAGAATCCGCCGTCGGTGCTACATGTAACAACAACGTGGTGGTCGCTCATGGGTTGTGAGTTGACGTTCTCCAAAATCTCGTCCAATGAGCTACGTGATTCTTTGAGGTGACAGTCCCTACCGCAGACGCGCCCGGATGCAGGAGATTTAGTCGTACTTCACGGTGCTGTATCTCGGCTCGCCCGTGGAGTCTCGAGCTCGCGACAGGGGCGTTGTGATCGTGAGAGTGCACGCCCACGTCGGCGAAGACGGCCGGAACAAATCTTTGATGATAATGCCCTTTCTCTGTTACGAGTAAGGTCCCTGGAGTGGTGAATAACCGTTTACCAACGGAGGTATTCTGCTCTTATTGAGATGTGGCGAGGATGTGCCAAGCGTGGCCGATGTGGTTCGGCCGTGCTAGAAAGGTGAAAGCGAGAGTGAGCCTTGGTGGGCTCTTTCATGCTCCGGCTGGTCACAGCAGGCGGAGGTTCTTTCCTTGTAAACATCTGCAGACCTGTAGAACTGTGTTCGTAGGGTCTCAGATCTTCACTGGTTGTATGTGCGTCAGTACCGTTAGGAAGATACCTATATCCAGGTTTCCACATTGCCCCCCCTTTTGTTCGCCGAAAATCCATCTTTATTGAAAAATGGGTTTCGG